GGATATGCGTTTCGAACAACGTGAACCGCCCACTGAAGATAAAGTAATCCAGGTCAACATGGGAGATGAACATGATCCTAAGCCCATATTCATAGCTGAAGACTTGTCATCATCCGAAAAAGAAGACCTTATATCTCTCATCCGAGAATATATAGATGTCTTCGCTTGGAACTATGAAGATATGCCCGGCCTTGACCCGAAGGTTGCCGTGCACCGTCTCAACATTGATCCGGACGCAAAACCAGTTAAACAACAACAACGCAGGTTTCGTCCAGAGATCATGGAATCAATTGAGTCAGAAGTTAAAAAGCTTATAGACTCAGGTTTTGTGAGGGAAGAACAACACCCAGATTGGGTAGCCAACATTGTTCCAGTTCCCAAGAAGAATGGTAAAGTCCGGATATGCATCGATTTCCGCGATCTTAATGCCGCCTGTCCAAAGGACGAATTCCCACTTCCTATCACGGATGTTATGATCGACAACACCTGCGGGTATGAACGGATGTCTTTCATGGACGGATTCTCTGGGTACAATCAGATCAAGATGCACCCGGACGACGAGAAGCACACTGCCTTTAGAACACCACTGGGGGTATATTGCTACACAGTGATGCCCTTCGGCCTGAAGAATGCAGGTGCAACTTATCAGCGTGCAATGAACACGATCTTTCACGAACACCTCCGAAAGAAGATCGAATGCTACGTTGATGATATAGCAGTAAAGAGCCAATGTAAAGACGATCATCTTGCAGATCTGAAGACAATGTTCGAAATCATGCGAGCACATCAGCTGAAGATGAATCCGACAAAATCATTTCTCGGAGTTTCAAGTGGAAAATTCCTGGGATTTATCGTTACTTCCAAGGGAATCTCTCTTGACCCAGAAAAAGTGCGTGCCATCCAAGACATGCCACCTCCGAAGAATCTCAAAGAGCTCAGAGGTTTGCAGGGCAGACTGGCCTACATTCGAAGATTCATCTCAAATCTTTCAGGGCGTTGCCAACCTTTCTCTAAACTCATGAAGAAAGGAATATCCTTTGTTTGGGATGCAGAGTGTCAAAGAGCATTCGAGGAGATTAAGAGATATCTAACTCAACCGCCAGTTCTCGTGGCCCCGATATCAGGAAAACCATTCCTGTTATATGTGAGAGCCATGGATCATTCCCTTGGAGCTTTGTTGGCCCAGAACGGGGGGAGTTTTCACTATTAGAAATCAAGAGGAACAAACTAGGGTTACAAATCTCTCATAAACCCTCAACAATCAACTCTCAATCTATCCAATTGCTCCTAGAATAGAAGCCCAAAGAAAACTCTCTCAATCTGCTCAAATTCGTCCTTGCTCTTAACCCTAAAAAACACCCAAAGGGTATTTATACAATTCCAAAACGAAACGGGTCTGAAACAGAACCCAACTGAAACCCGCAGCGTCGGTCGACCGGACCGGTCGACCGCGATCCATGTCGGTCGACCGGACCGGTCGACCGCCCTCCATCCAGAAGCCAACCAAAATTCCAAAGAGTACGTAGGTCGACCGACCCGGTCGACCGACACCAATGCTGAAGCCCGGTGAGCCTTGTGCACGAATACGGTCGACCGGACCGGTCGACCGCTGCCCTGTTTGCCTGAATCTTCACCTGTCAACCTCCCTCTGCTGCTAGTTCCACAATTTTATCACATAAAACCCCAACCTGATAGTATCTAACGCCAGTGTCAAGGTGATTGCAACTG